TGGGGGCGGGGCAGGGACCGGGCTTCCAGAGACGGCGTTGGGCAGGAGTTCGTGCTCGTCTGTCGGATGGCCCCAGCGGGCTCCACCTAGGCCCAGCGCGGGGCTGTTGCCTTGGGGCTTCATCCCCTTTGAGTCCACAGGGAAAGGAGGTGTGTTTTGCCAAAGACTTGGTGTAGGGCAATGAGCTGGCTCGGAGATGCCAGGAGGCAGCGAGGAGCTGGGATTTGTGGGGAAGGGAGGATGGGAGCAGGGCCAGCTTTGCTAGGGCTCCTCTTGGAGAAGAGGCCGCACGGCTGGTTACCCTGATGGGGGGAGCAGCCTGTGTGTTGGGGTGTAGAAGTCTGAGGCAGGCAGGAGAACCAGTTTCCTTTCAGAGCTAGTTTGCACCTCTCCTGTCAACTCCCAGCCTTACAAGAAACTTCCCAAGAAGTCAGGAGAAACATCATCCTCAAACACTACCTCAATCATTGGTTCCTGCCTAGGAGCAGCGGGTGCCGACTCAGAGAAGTTGGGCCCCTTTGGACTGTCTGTGGCGGAGGGAACCATTTAGAGAAGCGTAAAGCTACGTCTCAAGTCCCCGTCCTATGACTGAACTGTGGAGAGGGGCTCAGTTGCGTGAACAGACGTTACTAATGCTTCCCCGCACCTTTGGGGGAATTCTGCGTTTAGTTCTTGGACTTTCTGGCATGCAGCATGTGGAGAAAAGACACTACGGAGTGTGTAACTCCTTACCGCTGGGGTATAGGAGGCAGAAACGGCTGAAGAGTGATTCCAACCACTAGTGCTAATACCTGTTTTCTAGCAACCGCTGCTTGGTAATGAATTTTATCAGGGACAGAAGGGATCCAACAATAAGATCAAGGCAGTAGAAATTTTTCCATTCAGCTTGCTGGGATTAATAGCACGTTTGTTAGAACAAAGAGAGGTCGTTGCATTTGGGGGGGGAGGGGATTATGTCATTGCTTAGAGTTAGTGTTTAAGTCTAAAAATGCCTTCGCAAAAGGACAGAAATTTATAGTGTATAATTAATAATGAAGAGCTTTACTGAACTATTGTGGGTTGTTTGGTACGGGTGGAAATTCTGGTTTAAGAGAACAGCAAATCCGTGTGATTTGCAGCCATTTTAATGGAATGATTACATAATGTCTATAAAATGAATAATTTCTCTTCTAGGACTTTATGGAGATTTGGATACTCTGCCAGACTACTGAAAACTAATCATTTTAGGACAGCTGCATCAAATACATCATTTCCAGCAGTTTGGATGCTGTTGGCGCAATACTCCGGCAGAATACCTGGGCTCTTTGTCGTAGTGAGAAGAAACAGTTTTTTTACAATGCCTGAAAGTGTGGAGGAGAAAGCAAATGGAGAACTGTATTCGCCGCATCCTGAAGTGCGTGGGATGACTCGGCTCAACAGAGAAGCTTTTAAAAGGACAGTTGTCGTTCCAGTTCTTAGAGTCAAGAAAGAAACTGTAAACACTTTGATGAAGTCCCTAAAACACACGGTTCTACAGCGTCCTGGTCTAAAGCGAGTGGTTGAGGATCCAGAAGATCAGGACAGTAGGCTTGTTATTCTGGATCCTCATAAAATAGCAGAATTCTCTCTGGGAGAATCGGAGCGAGAGGTGTTAAAACAGCTTGACGTTCATCCGGAGGTGTCCAAGTATAACTTGGAGCTGACTTACGACAATTTCAAGTCCGAGGAGATCCTACGAGCAGTCCTTCCTGAAGGGCAAGAAATCACCTCTGGATTTAGCCGTGTTGGTCACATAGCTCACTTGAATCTTAGGGATCATCAGCTACCATACAGACATTTGATTGGTGGGTTAAATAACTCTTTGAAAAAAGTAACTTGTATATTTTGTAATTGTTAAAAAGATATTTTAACAGTTTTTCTACCTAGAAATTATTACTTGTACAAAGAAAACTTGAGTGCTTTTCTTGACTTTAAATGGCCTTGTGCTGCTGCTGTCGCTGTGCGCAGGAGGTAGTTCTCTCCTCTTACAGTCACGGTGGTGTCGCTTCACGCAGCGTTGGGTCCAGGTAAAGTATGTGCCTCAAGAAGATGTCACATCTGCAACCCTGAATCATTAGGGTAGTTCTAATACATGCTTAACTTCTGTTAATTTGACTGCGAGCCCCAGTGTTTGTATCTCTTGTAGGGCATGAAGAGACCGTAGTCCCTTAACCGGCCTATCTTTTGCCTTCTCTTTCAGGCCAGGTCATAATTGACAAGAACCCAGGAATCACCTGCGTAGTGAACAAAACCAGTATTATTGACAGCACGTACAGGAATTTCCAGATGGAAGTGCTCGCTGGAGAGAGCAACCTGGTAACCAAGGTACAGGTTATTTTAAATTTAATATGCTGAAGCCCAGAGGCACCTGCTGGAAAGGTGTGACGAAGGGACGCTGTTAAGTGCCCTTCCTGACACCTGCTTTAGAGTGCAGGAGCTGGCAGTTAACTTCCACGTTCATTTGCCCTGGTCCGCCAAGAGAAACTCGCAGCCGTAGGGATCATGAAGATACGTGTTCCTTTAAGCTCACAGCCTAGATCTTAACGATACATAAAAGCAGCTGAAGTAAAGGTTTCTTACAGAGGTACTAATTACAAACTTTTACTGGGGGGAATTCCTCGATCTAAAGCCAAAATACTGAGTGGCTTTGATGTAAGGAAACGCTGTTTCTTAATTTCACCGAGCCTTGTACCGTGGCTGGTATAGAACGTGAGACTGTGTGTTTAAATCTCACTGGCTTTGCAACCTGGGCAAGACGCTGCCTACGCCTGTTCCCTTTTCTGTCAGCAGCGAGACAAACCTCATCCCTCCTCTGTTCCGACGTTTTTCAGGTGCAAAGCACTATGTACTGCCAGGCATTCTTCACGTAGGGTTTCTTGTCTTGAGCTGGAAACTTGGCCACTGGTTTGACCAAAAAGTATTTACCCTAACTGCGAGGAGCTTTATACTTTTAGAAGAGCAGACATCAGGTTACCAAACAGAAGAGTTGAACTGCTTGGTACAACACCCCGTACGTGCTCAGAGAAGGTGTTTGAATCGTCAAGGCAGAAGGGACAGTCGGAGATTACGCGGACGGTATTAGCTTATCCAGCACACCACTGTGCCGCATGCTGAGGAGTGCAGATGCACCTTAGTGTTGCGTGACGCAGGGATCTGGATCCAAAGCTGCTTTGCTTGGGAGTCACGCAATTCAAGGGTGGGGGTGTAAAGTGGGTATTTGCATCCCACTCTCAACTGAATAAATAGTGTTTCTTTTTAGGTCTGTTCTTAAGATAATGGCCATCCCAAAGTTTGGGTTTGGATCGGTTTCCAGACTGTCACCTTGAGAGAGAAAACACGGTGGTTTTTCCAACTGCAGAATTGGCTCCCCATGGCGTTGAGCTTGGCTGGCTGTTGCCGTTCTGGTGCTGTATCATTCTCAGACGCTTATTTACTGCGTGAACTCCGCTGAGGAGGGCTTGAGGCATCTTCCCAAGGTCTGCTTTCAATAAAGGAGCTGTCAGCCAGCCACAAAGCTCTTGAAAAGCCTCAGATATGGTGTGTTTTTTTCTTTTTTATGGTCATTTTAAGTTGCTGCTTTATTTCCACCTGGTGATGGAGACATGCATAAGCCAGCCGTCTGGATTGACAGTTGGAACATTCCTTATGGCTATTCCTGATGAGTAGGTCTGTTTATACAAGACTTGTGTGGACTGCTAATGGGATGAATGTCACTGTACACATCACCTTTTGATAGAGCACCTTTGTTTTTAACCCTCTTAATTAACAGTAATGCTCAAACGTGCCCACAGTTTGAACCCAGAGGCTTAAGTAAATGTTTTGGACTTGCAGGTCAAAGAAAATAATATTGTGTACGAGTTGGACTTTTCTAAAGTTTACTGGAACCCGCGTCTTTCCACGGAACACGGCCGCATCGTTGAACTTTTGAAGCCCGGTGACGTCCTTTTCGATGTCTTTGCTGGGATTGGACCTTTCGCTATTCCAGCAGCAAAGAAGAAGTGCCATGTGTTTGCAAATGATCTCAATCCTGAATCCTACAGCTGGCTTCTGCACAACTGCAAACTGAACAAAGTAGCCAACAAAATAAAAGCGTTCAACATGGATGGCAGGGACTTCCTCCGGGGGCCAGCACGAGAAGAACTAAGCAGAGAGCTCCCGCGGCTGCGAGAAGAGCAGAAAACCTCTTTTCACATAGTCATGAATTTGCCAGCTCTGGCTCTTGAGTTTCTAGATGTTTTCAGGCACCTCTTGGTGGGAGAGCCCTGCCGTGCAGCTGGCCTTCCCACCGTGCACTGCTACGGCTTCTCCAAACACGATGACCCAGCCAAAGACATCCAAGAACGAGCCGAAGCTTCGCTGGGAACCTCCCTGGATGGACGCTGCTCTACGTACCTAGTGAGAAACGTGGCACCCAACAAGGAGATGCTCTGCATCAGTTTCCAGGTTCCGGCGGACGTGCTGTACAAGAGGCCCTGCCCCGATGAAGGTAAGGAATGAGCCTCCGACGTGGCCCGTGGATTTCAGGCTACGCCTTTTGCTGTCTCAGCCTGGTCCCACCTTGTCAGCCCCGTGGGCCGCTTCAGTGCCTGACAGCGAGTCGTGAGCATGGAGGTAGCCAGCGGGACTGGGTGCTGGCACGTGTGCGGCAGCTGAGGGCTTTGTGGGCTCTCGAAAACGGTGTTCCACTCCTGATCCCCACAAGAGCCTCCATGGACAAAGTGGTGGAGTGGACGGGATCATCCCGCAGGCCATACGCCTTTGCGCCCTAGAACGTGTTCTGGGGGAGGGTGGGGTATCTGATGCCAAGCACATCGTTCTGTTACCTAAATGCTCCAGAACTGGAGCTTCCTTTTCACGCGGGGGAGAACGGTGCGCTTCCTTCCAGTCCCCGGTCCAGCTCTCCCTTACGCTTCCACAGACTCCATTTAGGTCTGGAGTCACTACCTCAGCGGGATCTGGTTTGAGAAACAGATATCCTTCGAGATCCTTAATGATGTCTTTTTAAATTTTTTAATGGTTTTTAATAATTGGTCCTTGAAGAACTTGTGGAAGCCAGTTGGTTTCAGTGATCTTGGGCTTTGCGCTGCATGACGAGAAGAGCGAGGAGGCTTTCAGTCTGCAGTGGCATGACCTGGAAGGAGGCTTTGTTAAACTTTAATGCCATGAAACTTGTTTTGACACTGTTGTTGGGCAGCACTGAGAGGCAGGTCAAAAAGTACAGCTTTTCTGAAAGTCCTTTTTGGCATGCGGTAAAGACGTCCCGTTATTGCTGTAACAGTTTTCGTTTGTGACTGTTAATCCTGATTTCAACTCTCATCCCTGTTAAATCCCTCCAGTGCCACCTGGCTTGTGGTTCCGTTCACTCTGTTCACTGTACCTCAAGCAACTTACTTTTTCTAACCCTCTTCCAGCAAAACCAGCCTCGAAACGCCTGTGTGCCAGCAGAGGATTACCTGAAGAAACGTCACCGAGCTGAAGATGGGTGTTACAGTAACTACCTGAGCGTCTGCATAAGCTGCCTCTGCTTTAGCCCCTGGGTTACCCGGAGCGTCCCCGTTACCCGTCTTGGGCGCCGAGATGCATAACGCGCGTTGCAGCTTTCCTTTGCGCGCCTTGCTTCCTGCTGCGTCCGCCCCTTTTTCAGTTGTGGGATCAATACGCAGATTGACACCGTTACCACAAAAAAAATAAACCCGCTTTTTCTGTAAGAAATGCATTTGGGTACTTTCCGCTCTCTCTCGTTTCACGGCCCCTGATGATTTACTGGCAGAGACTGGGCTGGTTTTCTGCCCTGTTATTTTGATAACGCGTGGTCTGCGGTGAAACCAGAGTTTGGTGTTTGGTTGGGTCGAGCAAGAGGGCTTGTGTAACCCCTGCATTGGGTTCACATCGCGGAGGGTTTTGGGGTTTTAAGAATATTGGATTACTGTCAGCAGATGCACAAACAGCTCTTGTGTGAGCAAGACAACTTTTCAGAAACCTAGCCCAAGGTACCCAAAGGCCCAAACCGCCGGAGACACTTGCTCCGAGGCTTTGGAGTCATACCTGCTGTTCAGCACTGGGGTTTAGGCAGGGGTTAGTTGACTCCTAATGTAGTGTTTGCCCACCCTTAAAGCGGGAAGGACTCCAGTGGCATTTGCACATCCTCCGATTAAGGATGTGCTTGTGGTGAAGTGCCGGGCTGAACACCAGCATCTGGCCCAATAGCGCTCTCGCCCTGGAACCGCATCCTCCTGTGCCCTGTGTGCCTCTGCCCTCTCCCAGCTCTCCGACTGCTCTCTGCTGCAGTCCTTGGATGATCCCTCTGGCTGGCTGCAGGGATTCAAAAACCCTCTGCCTTCAGTCTCCTTTTCTTACCCACCCAGACTGTTGTTGGGCAGCATCAACACAACTAGTTTCTTTGCAGAGAGAACTGGGATCGCCCTCTGTGTTTCAGCTTCTCCTGCAGTCCTAGCTCGGTGCTCACCCCCAGCCACTCAGTTCCAGGCGCCCAGTGCCCACCCTGGCTCTGCTGTTGTGGCTCCATCTATGGGGCCTGGAACCTGTTGTCCGGGTTCTCCCCACATGACTACTACGGCCCGTGGATTTGCTTTGCCCAGTGGTTGTAACCGCCAAAGGGCTCCGCAGCCAGTGCTTTCGAGAAGCCGTCACCACCTGGGTACTGCTCGATTGCCTTTGTCAAACCATGGGGAAGCCATCGTGACTTGCTTGTGCTATCTTGAGAGCTGCTGTGTGGTTGCTGCCCTGGCCTACCGCTCCAGCCATGCGTTCGCCTCTGGCCCTTAATACGGCATCGCAACAGCTTCAACCTTTTTGTCCTTGCTGCCAAGGACAGGCGCACCATGCCCTCTCCCTGCCAGTCACTCTACTCCAAGGGCAGGCACCGGACTCGCCTCCAGCCTGTGACGCCACCCCCGCTCTCCGTTCCATTTTCCCACACAGCTGCATGCTTCCCCACTGCTCCCCTCCACGTTTCCCCTGAACACCTGGGTCGTCAGAGCCCTCCATGAATGCCACCGCAGCCGTAAGGTCCTTGGCTGCTCTGGAACGAGGCAGTTGCCCCGTGACCTAACACGCCTGCCTGTCCTGCCGGAGACTGCAGCTCCCTTTGGCTGTATGCATTGCCTCACCGTCCAAATTTAGGGCTTCTTGGGCACTACCTCGCCAACAGAAACCGGGATTTGACTGCCATTTGTGTGCGTAACTGTGCTGGGTTCAGCCAGGA